GAGTCCATTAAGACAGCAAACTATTTATTAATCGTTAGTTAAGGAAATAAATTCAATTCAATTAGTTTTTCTATGAATTTAATTGAAGGCATTACATGAAAACACGTTTTCAATACACTATTTGTAGTTGTAATGTAGTATTAACTACTTTTGAAAGTCCCTTAACAAAACTATTAAATTCAAAATTCAAAGCAATTTTCTATATAGTTGTGGATTTACGTAGAGTTCTATAATAAGATTTAATTATACTATGGTTTTACTTTTATTTAAATATTTTAGTTTCAAACCTATTAACTTAACACACGATTAATGGTTAGCGTAGAAAGTATTAGAGTTTTATTTAGATATTAAAACATTTATTCAAATTCTTTGCTAAATATAAATTCTTACAATTGTTTGTATAATAAGTTATGACCGGTATAAATTCTATTGAATATCCCTGATTAAATATAATAAATAAAATAACCACTTCGAAAATAGTTATGTTTTTCATAATGATGATTGAAACTTATATTAATAACTTTGAAATTATTGAATAATAAAATTGTGATAAGTAAATTTATAATTTTACTTAATTTATATAACAATATAAATGCATTAAAAATTATACAATTATTATATATTTTTATTGATACTAAATAACTTATGAGTTAAATGAATCTTAAACATGAAAATGAAATGAATTTTATCTGGTTGGTATATTATACAAAATTTAAATTTTAAAGAATTTAGAATTTACATATAGAATTCTGTATTTAAGCAAACCAATGTATTCATATACGGTAATGAATTAAATTTATAACTAAATTTATAATGCTCATATAAATGTGAAAAATGTTAAATAATTTAATATTCTGTTCACACAATTACTATAATAATAGTAAACATAGTTTCGGCGTTTTGTAAGTTATTTATACTTTAATGAGTGAATGTGTGGACAAAAGCCATCCATTGTTTGCAACAAAGTTTCAGTTCAACACATATTTACACAATTCTACTGTAGTTTAATTCATTGAACAAACTTTCAATTGAATACTTCGTTCAAATAAAACTCTTTTCAATCCAAAGTCCGATATTTACATAAATTTAATTCTTATAAAAAATAATTTTAGTTATTTTCTAATTAAAACTTGAATGAGTTAATATAATTAATTAATTATGTTGAAAGTCTTAAGCACTTTCTTGGTAAATAACCTTTATTTGAATACTATTTATACGTTAATTAATCTGATTTTATTGTTTATTTTACTTTATAATCAAATAAAGAGTTTTGACAATTCGTTTCCATTATTTCATTATATGTTTGCACTTAAAGTTAAATTTATATAAAATCACAATATATTCTAATTATATAAATTAATTCAATTTATAAATATTTTCATTTTAAGTTGCGTTAACTCCAAAGCATAAATAGCAAAATGTTATAACATGTATAAAACATTGCCAAAAAAAGTGTGAATGTTTATTTATAAAACCACTATTCGTTGACTCGTCCGATGAATGATTGTATTGTGGATGAAAAAAGTTTTTATTCTTGAATTTATTGTCGTTATGATAAATATCAATGTTTTTGCGATTATTCCTATTAAAACTCTGGCGTCTATTGGTAAGACTTTCTTTAAATGAGAGTTCGTTTATCTCAATGGCTGCGAGAAAATAAATGGCAAATCAGAAAGAAATGAGAAAAAGTCTTTTAGTAATTAGTCAGGGATGAGATAAATGAATAAAATTTTTTTGAATACTATTTATACGTTAATTAATCTGATTTTATTGTTTATTTTACTTTATAATCAAATAAAGAGTTTTGACAATTCGTTTCCATTATTTCATTATATGTTTGCACTTAAAGTTAAATTTATATTTATATAAAATCACAATATATTCTAATTATATAAATTAATTCAATTTATAAATATTTTCATTTTAAGTTACGTTAACACCAACGCATAAATAGCAAAATGTTATAACATGTATAAAACATTGCCAAAAAAAGTGTGAATTTTTATTTATAAAACCACTACTCGTTGACTCGTCCGATGAATGATTATATTGTGGATCAAAAAAGTTTTTATTCTTGAATTTATTGTCGTTATGATAAATATCAATGTTTTTGCGATTATTCCTATTAAAACTCTGGCGTCTATTCGTAAGACTTTCTTTAAATGAGAGTTCGTTTATCTCAATGGCTGCGAGAAAATAAATGGCAAATCAGAAAGAAATGAGAAAAAGTCTTTTAGTAATTAGTCAGGGATGAGATAAATGAATAAAATTTTTGTAAGACTTTCTTTAAATGAGAGTTCGTTTATCTCAATGGCTGCGAGAAAATAAATGGCAAATCAGAAAGAAATGAGAAAAAGTCTTTTAGTAATTAGTCAGGGATGAGATAAATGAATAAAATTTTATAAGCAATGACTGACCGTAGAGCTTAATTGTAGCCCTTTGTTCTCCCAATGCATTCTTTGCAAAACAGTGATAGTCTTTTAAATCCTTTTCTTGTAGTTCACGAATAGTTAGTCTTAAGTGTCTTTTATAGCCCTTCTCTTTGACACTAATATCGTATCTATTATTTGTGCCAAATATAACGGAGCTATCGTTCAACCAGTAGCTAATGGGCGGTGGGTATGCCTTCAAATCATAAAATTCATAAAGAATCAAGAATTTGTTCATAATTATTATAAATGTTACCTCAATGTGACAGTCTAGTGATACTGACTTGCCGATGGGGGCCCTATAAATTGCAAGTTCAAAGGTCAAAAGTTTGTAACACATTTTATCTCTTTATAATACTGACCCTACGGTCTGACTTGGAAGCCATATTTGTGGAGAGACTACAAATTAATTAAGTAATGTTTGTAATAATGTTTGAAATTTTTAATGAATTACTAAAACTACAGTATACAGTACTAAGATATAATTAATAAGAATGAATTTTAAATATTTGGAATAAACTTTTATTTTTGTATAACTAACTTGTTAGTCCTTAGAACTTAATTTTTATATTTAATTCTATTTTCATTTATTGTAATTTGAGTTAAACTAATACATGTATAGTGTATCATTTCTTTTAAGTAACTTCAAATAAGTCTTAATTACTTTTAGGTGAATTCTAATACTTTTATAAATGCAGTAGATATTTGGTTAAAGTGGTTTATATAACATGTTTTTATAATTAAATCAATCATTTTTATATCATATTAATTCAATTATTCTGTATACTCCAATTTAAGCTTTTGAGAATTCTGTATTTTAAACAAATTTTGTTAATGCATCAAATGTGATTTGAAAATAAATAAAAATATGCACTTCATTATGAATATAATTAAATGATATATACATTGGACTTGAAGTAATATTCTTCGGCTAACGGATGGCATAACACCTAAGGATTAAAAGAAAATTATAATTAAAATACTTTATTATGTTTAATTGAATAGAACAATGAATGTATTGTTTATTATAAAGAGGTTATCATATATTATTATATTAATATTATTAGTCTCTCAACATCTGTCTATCACATAAAGATTGATTATGTTCAGAATTAACTAAAATCTATTATTTTTTGATATCCCATCAGTTACACTAATCGATTTCCTCTTATTTCAGTGCAAATTATATTTATTTAATAAGTTTTCTCAATAACTTATAAATATTTAATGTCTAGATGT